CTTCTCAGGGATTAGATGTTCCTGAAGAGCCTTAGAACCCTTCAGCTGCTGTCAGACCTCCAGAACCTTTGTAGGACTCGCTCTGTCTCATAAGAGAATCCTGGAAGGTCCTCTGGAGCCCGTCGGATCTCCAGCCGCCTGCTCACCTCTGTGTGACCCGCAGGTTCCTCTGGGCTGCATTCCTGCTGGTTCTGTGCGGATGATGGAGTTCTGGTCTGACAGCCAGCTTAGTGAAGTCCAGCTGTGAGCAGCAGCTGGACCATCAGATGTTCTTCTCTGAATCGGATCGGTTCTACGCAAACCTCCGCAGACGGACAGCAGCTGATGGTTCTCACATCTGTGGAACGGTAAATATCTGACATCAGCTCGCGTCCATCACAGACGGAGCGACAACAAAGCAGTCGGAGGAGAACGAAGGTAGAATTATTTATTGGTCGACTTCAACAGTCTTCATCCTTTAATCTTTGAAGTTTTGAACCTCCAGATGTTCTTCTTTCAGACCTTCCATCATGAGTCTCACATTTTATCAAACAACTTGTTTTTGCTCATCACTGGCTTGAAAACAATCTGATGTCATCGTTATTTTATCGTCATCCTTGTTTCATCTCATGAGTTGAGCTTTTTGTTTCAGAATCTAAAGTTTTTATCTCAAAGTTTAAAATCTTAATCTCCTGATTTTAACCGTATTTTATGATTTTAACTTTGAGGATCAGATTTTTCTTTCCGTCGTGCGGTTGAAGGTGTTTCTGGTTTTACTGCCACTTATTGGAGCTGATCCGTTTTTTTCAGCTTCCTGTTACATTATCTGGAAATAAAACTTCTGAAATGAGCCCGAATGTCACCAGAAACTCCCAGAATCTCACTGAGGAAACTCAGAACCTCATCAGGAACCTCAGGACATTTTCAGGGACTTTCAGGACCTCAGAAAGAACCACAGATCCTCTCAGACTGCTCAGTGATCTTCTGCCTCATCATCAGGAGTCTAATCGATCCATCTTTGACCTCTGAAGCACAAATAGATCCTCGGTGAGGATATCTAGAACCTCTGTAAGAACCTACAAGCCTATCTCAGACCCAGAAACCAAATCAACCCCCAGAACCTGCTGAAGAACCTCCAGAAGGTTCAGCTCAGTTAACAGTTAATTCTGCAGAGCTGCATTGGGTTCCGTATCGGTTCTGTTCATGGGAAGCTGTTCTGTGGAGGATGAAGGTGGATCTGTGAGTTTCAGTGTGAACTCTGTGCAGCCTGTGAAGGTGGAGCTGCAGATGTTGAGCCTCCACCCAGAGACAGATGTGTGTTTTGACCCGATCGTCTCCAGCGTTTATTTCTTTATCGGAGGCCCCTTGGAGCCTCGGCCCGGTTACGTAACGGCACCAAGCTCGTGTTTCAGAGCGAAACCTCCGTCCGTTGGAGACTCTGTTGCGTCTCTGGAGGCCTGCAGCGAAGGTCAGCGAGCCAAGAATGTAGGCGATGTGTGGTCCGAAGAACCGCCGCAGGAACCCGCAGAACACAACATCCTCCGAAACCCGTCCACCAGCAGGAACCTCGGAACCAGTCTGAGGAACCACCTGCTGAAATACGTCTTCTCAGAACATCACACGTTTCACACGTTTTAGTGGCAGAAGATCCAGAAACGGTTCAGTTAGAACTAAATCAGTGGCCGCCTGGGTCACACGCCTGGCTGCAGAACAATAAACCCGACCGGCACCAACTTATTCAAACCCACATTTATGTGTCTGCTGAGTTCAATTCCCTCACAACACGTTCGTGTGTGAAAGTGCTGCTGGCTGACGGGTTCTGGATCATGTGTGGAAACTGGTTTCTGTGAGTCATCAGAGTTCTGCTGCCTCTCATGAACCAGTAAAATACCGTCCAGTTCTTTAACTCGCCGCAGTTTGTTGGCTGAACAGAACTCTGGTCCAGTTTGTCTGAAGCAAACAGTTTACAATGAATCAGACGGTTTTGTTCTCGTCAAAATAAAAGTGCAGCAAAATGTTCTTTCATTCATTCAACCGCTACAAAGCAAATAACACAACGAAGCTCCATCCATAAATAACAACTTTATTTATAAACAACACAAGAAGAAACAACATTCAAAAATAATAATAAGAACAACTTTATTTATAAATAATATGATAAAACAAATTCATTTACAAATAATAACACAATAAACAGCCTTATTTAGAAATGGTCTCATAAAAATGTGTTTATAAATAACATAATAA